CCACATAATCAACATGCTAATCAAATTTTTAAATAAAACCTCTACGTTTTCATTACCTACTTATTTTAAACCTCACTGGGTCTCTGTGCTTCTTTATGCAATGCAGGCAATATAAGGATACACTTTATAACAAGGGTGTGCAAACTCCGGCCCTCCAGTTGTGGTAACCTACAAATCTCATTATGCATCTACCCTTGGGAGTCTTACCTAGGCTGTCAGAGTCTTACAATGCCTAAAGGGACTTGTAGTTGAACCACTATGTATCACTTGCATAGTATATAAGCCTGAGTGCAAAATTCTGGTACATTTTTACTAGGCACATACTTTGTTTAAATTGGCCCTAATCTTGGATGGCGGGAGGGGGTTCTATTTGGGGTGGTGGATGAGGTAAACCTCAGCCCAGCCTAAGTACCTAAAAGTACCTGCACGTTAACCCCTTGGATGTTTCTTGACTTTAAATATATACACATGTATCTATGTATACTCTACTTGCCATTGCGGTTACCATTAATGTTAGTTAACTCTAAGCCCTCAGGCTGGGTTCACACCATTTTCCGGACCAGATCTGGATTGCAGTGCATTGCATTTTTACCACGATTTTGCGATGATTGGGCATTTTTTTATTATTTTTTTTTTAAGCTTAAAAATGGTCTTACAGGTGCGTTCTAGTGCGTTCCATGCGTTTTTGATGTGTTCCAGACCAGACAAAATGAGACATGCAGTATTTTTCTAGTCTGGTCTGGAACGGACTGTGCTGGTGTGAACAGAGGCCAGAAATAGCATAGGGATACATGTTGGGTCTGGAAACAGTCTGGTGGTAATCTGGATATGGTATGAATGGGCCCTCATTCATGCCTTTTTTACATGTGTTTTTCACACATTTCCAGGCTTGAAGTTTTTAGTTTTATCCAATGGAAAACTAGTTAACGGTAATCTTCAGGTTGAGCATTGTCATGCTTCCACAAACGCCAGACACACCACTTAAGTGAATGGCAGCTCAGTGAAGCACCAAGCCACCAAATACATTTTGCAATGGAATACATGTTCTGCATGTACAGGCCAAGTATAGTGCTTACATATTGTATAGTATTTCTAAACAGATCGCTGGATTATGAAGCTGAGCATTCTCATGACTTCTACAAAATATGCTGTTTACAAGTTTCCAAATCCAAAAGGCAGTTTCTAAAAATTGTCAATGTCACCGGACATTATGCACAAAGCAACTGCTGTTTTTTTTATAGTATTTGGGAATCAGATTTATAAGGCCCCATTCACACTTGCAAATGGGGCAATCACAACCTCACTAATTCCTCTGTGAAACATTTGTGATCTGCTGCATGTGGGATGTGCTATATAATACAATGACAACTCCCAAGAGCCGCAGCTGTCCACAGGCCAATCGTGGGTATTCACACATGACAACAATCCCACTAGGACGCAAACAGTCTGTGTCCAAGTGTGGTCATCTGCAGGTAATAACAGCATGTGCGATTACATATGAACGGCCTACGAACAGCTGTGGATGGTGGCAGTTGTCATTGTATAAGGGCTAGTTCACACATGGCATTCCAGGCCCGATAGGTGCCGTAACACACTGGATCGCATTACGGCCGGCTAACTTTGTTTTGGGGCTGGAGGGGGCATGGGGATGCATTGAAGTCAATGGCACCGCAGCCACGCCCTCGGGCCAACTGCAATCGCCTGCACAATAACACGTGGCAAATTAGTACCTGCGTTACAGTCCGGTCAGACAAAATGCATGCACTGTTTTTTCTGACCAGACCGGAAAGCAGATCTTGATGTGCTACGCGTTCCGTTGCGGGCGATCACACTACAGCCACGCCCCCTCCCGCCCCAAAACAAAGTGAGCCGGCCGGAAAACGATCCAGTGCGTTCCGGCACCAATTGGACCGGAACACACTGAGGCTGGTGTGAACTAGCCATTATATATCGCCTCCTGCATGCAGCAGGTCACATGAGTTTCAAAGGGGAACTCATGAGACTCATGCGATCACCTCCATTTCTCAAGTGCGCTCGCTCGTCCCCCCCCCTTTCCGGCCCTGCCAGGCCTATCCTCGGATCAAGGGTCTGGTATGGAATTTTAGGGGGACCCCATGTTTTTTTCCCCCCATTTTTGGGGGTGGGGTTTCTCCTTAATATTCCTACCAAATCTTAAGGGCCTGGTTTGACTATTAGGAGGAACCCTACACAGTTTATTTTTTTTTAAATTGGTCCCTCCTAACATTTCTACCAGACCTAAAGGGTCTGGTATTGTTTGGGAGGGGGAACTGCACACTTGTTTTAGAAATGTCAGTTTTGCTGCAGCAGGTTCTATACATCCTACAGATCCGCCACTTCAAAGGCAGGTTAAGGGGACCCCCCCAGGCATGATATTTGAAGGAATTTTTCATTTTTTAACCTTTAAGTGATGTTAAAAATCACTGCTCCTTCAAAAACTGTATTTTTTTTGCCATTGATTCATGTCCCCCAGGGCAGTACCCGGACCCCCATACACCTTTTATGGCCAATAACTTGCATATAAGCCCTCTTAAAGGGGACATTCATTTTCGAACGTTCGACCCCCATTGACTTGCATTGAGTTCGAGTTTGTATTCAAACTTTTCGGCCGTTCGAATACGAACCGAATACGAGGGTGTTCGGCCCATCACTAATTGCTATCACATAGGGGGCTAAGAAAACCCCGTATGTGATAGCAAAAAGGATGTAACAGGTCCTCTTTATGGAGACATCAGGGGTCTCCAAGACCCCTAATGTCACCTAGGACCCCCCAAAGAAGCTGATGAAGCATTTAAATACGCCCGCAGATCTAAGATGCTCCCGGCCGGCTGCATTTCTACAACGGCCGGCCGGGAGGCGGTTAAAGCTGAACTCTGGGATAAGCAAATATCGTCTATATACAAGAATGTGTGTATTCGTATTTGAATCTTAGTGGGCTTTGTGTATTTCTTCCAGATCTGTGCTGTAATCCAATGTAAAACTTTGCCTCTGTGCAGGAGCTTCAGTTA